CAGAAATCAGGAAACCTTGGCAACAAGCGATGTCGTCCATGCCATTAAACAAAAATGCCCAATTAGCTAATAAGCAACATTCCTCTGTCGAGAATGAAGTGTCGCTGTCACCGCCGCCGCCGCGGCCACCTCTGTTGACACGACAGGTGAGAGCGGTGCCTGGATGGGCTCTCGAATGTACGGCATGTTTGTTGACAAGCCCCTTGGCGGCTGCACGGAGTACAACGAGCCAGTAGCGGCGACGGGCTGGTGATGAAGTTGCGACTGCGGCTGCTGCTGCAATAATGGCGGAGCTCCAGTGGGAAGTACGGTTCCATCTCTTTGCGGAGATGTGGAGCGCTGCACGCAACGAAAGGTAGAGGCGTCGCGATTAGTCAGTGAAGGCATGGTAGTAGATATATACACACACACATTCACTCAACAACGAGGACGGTGCAACTTAGTGCTACATCATCTGTGATATCTTGTGGTGGATCTTAAATCATGCTACTCGTGCTGCATTGCCAATAATATATATTGGCAAAGCACATATATATGTTTCGGTCCAAGGCCAAGGCACGTGTTCGTCGACCTCCTTCCACATAAACCCTGCGAAAGCCGGTGTGTTCATTGAAATGTACTCACTCGTACGAATTCGTTCTCCCGGATCAGAGGCAGTACACTGTACACCGGTACGACAGGCGTATCCCGGTTGTACTGGAACAAGCCTGCTGCAACATCCCCACCGCCACCACCTCCTGCTGAACCGCCAGTAATAGCAGCTTGCGGCTGGTATAGGGCCCCAGCCGCTACCGCGTGCTGCTGCTGCTGTTGCTGCTGCTGCTGCAGATCAGGCGGGGAAGCTGTAGATGGGCCCGGCGGCGGCGGCGCCGGCGGATATGCAGCTGCGCTAGGAGTGTGTCGCGGGCTGTTGTTGCCAACAGCGCCGCGGTTGTCGTAGATGGCGTCGTAGGGGGACCGGGTGGCGCCACCACCACCACCGGGTGTGAAGGGGTGGGGGGATTGCTGCTGACGGCGGTGGTAGATGCCCAGCGGGGGGGCCTGCAACCGTTCAGGAACACCAAGATATGCCTTTCTCCGTTATCATTTGGTTCCATCTTCCCTAGGGTTTGTCTTCTGGGTGACGTCGGTGTTTGTGCGTGCGTCTCTACCTCATGCCCCTTGTCATATTATCCCCAGTCGCAACTAATTAGTAAACAGTGCTGACGACAGACACGGCAGCGGCGCACCAGCAGGTATGGGTCAGGTGGCATCGACTCTCGGATTAGTGGTGCGGCCGATTGCATTGGGACGAGCGGTGTGTCTCTTTCGTACACAAAACTCGAGGAATCCGGTACGGGCATGGTGTACAACGGGTCAGGTGGGCCTTGTGTTGCGGATGTGCCCATGTCCTGCGGGTCAATTTTAGCATAGAAGGGTGAACCTTAATACATTACATATAACAATAATATTATATTAAACATTACATTATTATTTATTAATAAGTGAGGATTGGTTTCAAGATCCCAGCCATCACAACAGGAAATTTTCGAGCTTTTCATAAATAAAACATGTTTACGAGGTGCTCGTCCATGCACACCCATGCCATATCTGCAACAAGCAGATATGTGGTTCATATACCCCCCCTGGCGGACGGTGGGACCGTCCATGGCGGACGGTCCGCCGGACGGATGACCGTCCGGCACAGCTTTCCGGCAACATATACCAACACATACCAACATATTTTTGCACGAAACAAAAGACATTTTCTTTTAGTTTATCCTGGTGCTCGCGGCGCGCGCAAGCGTGCAGCGCGCGCAGAGATTCCTTGTGCAACCAAAAAGCGTGGCATGCAAACTGCGTCCAGATGAGCCCATTTCCCATGCAATTTTGCTGAGCTTATAGTAAAGTGAAGTTTATAATCTTTATAATGATAATGTAACGCAATGCACAATGCTGAGGGCGACGCCGATGCAAGCGGTTAGCGCCAGCGAATGCATGAAATGTTAACACAGCTTAAAATAGCAGTCAGATAAGCCAAATTAGATTTAGGAACTTGTTTATCTGGCGGCTTGGGGCCTGACTTGGACCATAAAGCCATGGGCGACCCAGGTGGAGACGGATGCGGATGGCCATTTAGCCTGGGAACTTGGCAGACTGGGATTCTAAGAGCCTGGGAGCCTGTGTGCCTGGGAGCCTGGGAACCTGGCAGCCTGGGATTCTAAGAGCCTGGGATTCTAAGAGCCTGTGTGCCTGGGAACCTGGGAACCTGGGAGCCTGGGAACCTGGTAGCCTGGGATTCTAAGAGCCTGTGTGCCTGGCAGCCTGGGATTCTGAGACCATGTGTGCCTGGGAGCCTGGGAACCTGGGAGCCTGGGATTCTAAGAGCCTGTGTGCCTGGGAGCCTGTGTGCCTGGGAGCCTGTGTGCCTGGGAGCCTGGGAACCTGGGAGCCTGGGAACCTGGCAGCCTGGGATTCTAAGAGCCTGTGTGCCTGGGAGCCTGTGTGCCTGGGAGCCTGTGTGCCTGGGAGCCTGGGAGCCTGGGAACCTGGCAGCCTGGGATTCTAAGAGCCTGGGATTCTAAGAGCCTGTGTGCCTGGGAGCCTGGGAACCTGGGAGCCTGGGAACCTGGCAGCCTGGGATTCTAAGAGCCTGTGTGCCTGGCAGCCTGGGTGCCTGCAAGCCTGTGTGCCTGGGAGCCTGTGTGCCTGCGAGCCTGTGTGCCTGGGAGCCTGGGATTCTAAGAGCCTGTGTGCCTGGCAGCCTGGGATTCTGAGACCATGTGTGCCTGGGAGCCTGGGAACCTGGCAGCCTGGGATTCTGAGACCATGTGTGCCTGGGTGCCTGGGATTCTACGAGCCTGTGTGCCTGGTAGCCTGTGTGCCTGGGAGCCTGTGTGCCTGGGAGCCTGGGAACCTGGGAGCCTGGGAACCTGGGAGCCTGGGAACCTGGCAGCCTGGGAACCTGGCAGCCTGGGATTCTAAGAGCCTGGGATTCTAAGAGCCTGTGTGCCTGGGAGCCTGGGAACCTGGAACCTGGCAGCCTGGGATTCTAAGAGCCTGGGATTCTAAGAGCCTGTGTGCCTGGGAGCCTGGGAACCTGGCAGCCTGGGATTCTGAAACCATGTGTGCCTGGGAGCCTGGGAACCTGGGAGCCTGGGATTCTAAGAGCCTGGGATTCTAAGAGCCTGTGTGCCTGGGAGCCTGGGAACCTGGCAGCCTGGGATTCTGAGACCATGTGTGCCTGGGAGCCTGGGAACCTGGGAGCCTGGGATTCTAAGAGCCTGTGTGCCTGGCAGCCTGGGAACTTGGCAGCCTGGGATTCTAAGAGCCTGTGTGCCTGGGAGCCTGTGTGCCTGGGAGCCTGTGAACCTGGGAGCCTGGGAACCTGGGAGCCTGGGAACCTGGCAGCCTGGGATTCTGAGAGCCTGTGTGCCTGGGAGCCTGTGTGCCTGGGAGCCTGTGTGCCTGGGAGCCTGTGTGCCTGGGAGCCTGGGAGCCTGGGAGCCTGGGAACCTGGGAGCCTGGGAACCTGGGAGCCTGTGAGCCTGGGAGCCTGTGAGCCTGGGAGCCTGGGAACCTGGGAGCCTGGGAACCTGGCAGCCTGGGATTCTAAGAGCCTGGGATTCTAAGAGCCTGTGTGCCTGGGAGCCTGGGAACCTGGCAGCCTGGGATTCTGAGACCATGTGTGCCTGGGAACCTGGGAGCCTGGGATTCTAAGAGCCTGTGTGCCTGGCAGCCTGGGAACTTGGCAGCCTGGGATTCTAAGAGCCTGTGTGCCTGGGAGCCTGGGAACCTGGGAGCCTGGGAACCTGGCAGCCTGGGAACCTGGCAGCCTGGGAACCTGGCAGCCTGGGAACCTGGCAGCCTGGGATTCTAAGAGCCTGGGATTCTAAGAGCCTGTGTGCCTGGGAGCCTGGGAACCTGGGAACCTGGCAGCCTGGGATTCTAAGAGCCTGGGATTCTAAGAGCCTGTGTGCCTGGGAGCCTGGGAACCTGGCAGCCTGGGATTCTGAGACCATGTGTGCCTGGGAGCCTGGGAACCTGGGAGCCTGGGATTCTAAGAGCCTGTATGCCTGGCAGCCTGGGAACTTGGCAGCCTGGGATTCTAAGAGCCTGTGTGCCTGGGAGCCTGGGAGCCTGGGAACCTGGGAGCCTGGGAACCTGGGAGCCTGGGAGCCTGGGAGCCTGGGAACCTGGCAGCCTCGGATTCTAAGAGCCTGTGTGCCTGGGAGCCTGTGTGCCTGGGAACCTGGGAACCTGGGAGCCTGGGATTCTAAGAGCCTTTGTGCCTGGGAGCCTGTGTGCCTGGCAGCCTGGGAACCTGGCAGTCTGGGATGCTAAGAGACTGTGTGCCTGGCAGCCTATGTGCCTGTTAGCCTGGGAGCCTGGCAGCCTGGGATTCTGAGAGCCTGGCAGCCTGGAATTCTGAGAGCTTGGGACCCCAGTCTTGAACGAAAGTTTGGTATGGCTTCGTTGGCCTGCCCGACATGCGCTGTGTTGCACAGACAGGCTGGCAGGCGGAATGCAGTATAGGGGCGTAACCGGTGCGGGGCGTTTGTGCCGTGTTGGGTCGTGGGGACGTGCGCATACTGTGCGCCAGCTCGGATGCCATACAATGGCCTCTTTCCACCGCCAAATGATCATTAACCCAGTAGAGCATTCATTGTGCCATTCAGAGCCGACAAATGGATGGAACGACGTGTTGGACGTGACGGTCAGTCTTTGCTGAATCCCTTTCACTAATGCCCAGTGCTTGTGGCCATTGCAACGACCTTATTGCATGATTCAATTGTTCCAGTGCGTTGGTGTTATTTAAGCAGGTTATGTAAACAGGTCATTAGAATGTCCGCCGCGCGCCTTGGGATCTTGTCTTTTTTTCTTTCGATTGCTTTCTCCTTTTATGCTAGAGGTCTTTTGACTATGTGCGTCACGATTTTGGGGTTAGGTTTTCCTGGCGAGTGTTTTGCGCGTTAATTGCTTGCCAAGGAGTGCAAGCTGGAGCATTTATTATTAGCGTCTCATGAATCATCTACATACAGATGTTTTGGAGCTTTGGACCATCGTTTCCATGACCGTCCGCTAGGCGTCCGCTGGAACGGTCAGGATGTACGGCGTTGCGGACAGGGGACCGTCCGCTGGCGGGGTATATGTATGCGCGTTACAAATATAAAACCCTATATATACGTATATACAGCTGCGTTGCATTACATATCCCATGGCTAGCTGATTTATCTGTTTCTATGTTCTTATGGTCTTTGCCGTATAGCCGCGCCGTTGCAGTAAAACCGAACCACCGAAACGTAATCCGCACAAGCCAGGCACGCACCTGCTTGAGGCTCAGGAGATCCCGGTAATGGACACCGGGTACGGCAACCTTGGGCACCATGATTGGCTCCGGAACCGAGGCCCTCAAATCGCCCCAGGTCTCCACCGCCGCATCAGGGCCATCCAGGAGCGCCACGCCGCCGGGCCCCCCCTGCTGGTGCCCCGACATCAGCCATTGCAATGACAATCATACGCAGTCAAATACTGTGTGTGTGTGTGTGCTCACATCCCTGTAGTCGCTTTGCGGCACGTTCCCCTCCCCAGTGCGTGTGGTTACTCCCCGCCCCGCCCCCGCCCCGCCCCTCCCCTCCACTTATTAACGCGGGAAACGGACTCTCCCCTCTCATCATGACATACATACACGCTGCATGCATGCACTGCCGCATCACAGGGTAGCCTGAACAAGCCACATGCCTGCGTACGCCGCACCGTTACTACCGTGGTATTAAGGCGCCTCACCCAACCTAACCCATTCAGAGATATATGTCCGCAGATGTGTGCGAAGATATACGCGTGTACAAAACGCAAATATACATAACTACATGTACAAGCATAGTGTACGAAGATACGAAAAAACACGAAAAGCATACGGATATACTAGAACGCAGGACTAATTACGACGTACCGGTGGCATCCGCTGCCACTCGCTATCTGCATATGCCTTCCGGTACCACGCTGCCAGGTAGGGGTTCTCGCGCGCCGCCACAGCGCCGCCGCCGCCAGTTCCAGCCCCGCCCGGCCCCTGCAGCCCCATCGCTGCTCGCAACTTGGCCACCGTGGCCACCAGCCGCAGGTTGTCTTGACGGGCCGCCTCCAAGTCGGCATGCAAGGCGCTCAGCTCCGAAACCTTCGAATTGGACTCCTTCAAACCCTAGGTGCAGCAGATGGGCAGATTACAATACGATGTAATAATACGCACCCTAAGAGTACCGTACATACATAAAACCCAACATGCATACGTACGTACTCGCCGCTAAGATCATCAAAGCATAGGCATACATACCGACGAAAGGCTACGTATGTACGTATGTACCTCAATGGTAAGTTGCGCCTGCTGCAGCTCCCCCACCGCCTCCAGCAAGGCAGCTTGAAGCTCCCGGCAGCGCCGTACCAGAGCCGCGATGACCTGAACACACACACACACACACACACACACACACACACATACACACACACACACATACACACACACATGCCCAATGGTGATGTAACAATACTGCTGCGTGCTGTTGAATGGGAAGGGCTCTGCAGGTGATGCTCGCGGACCGGCGGGAATTTCCTTTTCTGTCAGGTTTTGCAGTGTCTTGAAGCCTTAACTCCGTAACAAACAACTATTGCTGTTACACGTGATTGCGATGAAAAGCAGCAGCGAGGTGTGAGATGCGTGCAAGGCACTACAACGCCGGGCGGCTGCCGCTGCCAGCCGCTGCTGCGGCTGTTAAGGCTACTGATGTGAGCCGAGGCTAAGCTGAAGAGGCCGAAGGTACCGAACTCATCATGCGCCTTCTTCCCCCACAGGCCCCATTACGCTAATCCCCGTTGCTCTTTGCTCCACCTGTGCACTGCTAGCTGGGTAGCTCCCCGACAGCAGCTGCTTCACGTCGGCTTGGAGGGGGTCGCCCGAGGCATCCCCAAGGTGCGGCTGTCCGGCGTCTGCTGGGCAGATGGCAAGGGCAGCAGCACGAACTTTAGTACGAACTCAGAGTTGCGCGTTTGCCGTACTGTACGACAGCTACTACACCGGAATTAGCGCCGTACACCCTCGATGCCGCACCTCTATGACCTGCCAGTCGCTGACCGATTCGGTCCACTTGGCGGCGGTAGTAGGCAGTAGCGCCCTCGTGGGGCTGATCCCGAGGGAGGGTGCTGGGGCCAGAGACGGTCCCATCGCCACCACTACCACCCGCCGCCTGCAGATTCCGGGAAGTCAAGGCATGCGGTCCTATGTGGTCAGAGTGCAGCAGAGGCCTTGCATTTGTTAACGTACGGCGCAGGTCAGAGCACACATTACGGAAACACAAGCTAGCGGTGTCGCACTTTTTACATTTAATCGCAAGTCGGAATGTCGCAGTGACTAGCTATAAGAAATGGATGTGAGTCGTGGTGCAGGAGAGCTTGCCGGAATAGTGCAGATGCCCTCACCTACGTACTGTAACATAAACTGCAACCTAGACCCGACTCCGGCTGACGGCGATGCATGTGATGATACGTACCCAGGACTTGTCCACTACCTCCCCCAGCAGCGCCCGCAGCCCCAGCCGACGCGGGGCTCCCAGGGTGTTAACATGGCTGACGTGGGTCTGGGCTGCTAGCGGTAGTGCGGCGGGGTCCAGGGAAGGGTCCACACCGCGAAGAATGTCGCGGAGGTGGGACTCGAACCTATGACCGGCAAAACATGACGGAATGGGCCAACAAAAGTGATCATAGACATAAGCAATATAATAAACCCTAAAATTGTAACATCACATTTTATTACTAGTACAACCAGAGGCGTATTGTCAAAAGAGGCCCTTATTAGCACTTTTTACACATCAGATGTTTTTTATTTATTACAGAGTGGTTGGCTTCTGGGCCACTTGAACACATTGTCATACCCACGGATGTGCTTCGGTGGCCTGGGGAAAAATACGATTGAGTTGTAACCCGTAGTTCATTGACGAAACAGGTATCGATCGACCCGTGGGTCAGCAGGTTTGCGAGCCACCTAAGGACCCGTCATGGATCAACCCGGCGGCCCCCTCCAGACGTAAAGGTGCGGTGCCGGCTATGTTCAGCCCCTGCTCACTCCTTTCGCGCCAGGCGACCACGCACGTGTTTCTGGATGGTGGTGGCGGCCTCGCTGGCCTGAGCGCGGGAGAGGGCCGGCGGGGGTGCAACGGGGGAACAGGGCTTTCCAGTCAGCTTCCCACAGCCATGCGGCATCGCAGAAGTCGATAGATCGCACGTAAAACAGCGGCGCAATATACGTTGTTACAGCCACGGAATCACCATCACCCGACATCGAATGGCCGTGCTCTCCCAAGGAAACCAAAACATTACCCTATTCGGCTTAGTGGCAGTCGCCCTTCAAAACCCCCGAGTTAACCCGGCGCTTGCTGTTGCGTTGCTGGAGGAGCGCAAAAGTCATACAGCGATGCCCTCCCAAGGCAGAGGCTGTAAACCGCCCACTCAGCAAATCGTCAAGTGCAACAGTGCTTCCATCCTGTTGCGCAATGCGCAAGTGGCCCCGTGCATGTACGGACGCATGTACGGCAACGGATCTAGCACATGGCCGTACACCCAGACATATATACATACCTGCGGCAGCTCGTCCGCCGCCAGTGTCAGCTTGTTGGCCGCCTCCGCCGCCTCCGCGCGCCGTCTCTCCTCCGCACTCAGCAGTGCATCGCCCACACCTCGCTCCATTCGTACCGCCGCCAGAAGTACCTTACAGTCCTCTTCCGCCTGCGTGATACGTTGGCGCCGCAAAAGGGCAATGATGGTGGGCGGATGGACGGGTGTTGAAAAGATTCCGGGCGCGCGTTGGGTTCAAGTGAATCCGAAGGCTCATACACCGCTTCAATCGCGCAAGGAAAACTTTAAAAATAGGGTTTAGTGATGCAGCGTGATGGAGGATAAACGGCAGATGGAGAATAACGACAACGACGGCAATCTGGAGCTAGCCGCGGCCCGGCGGCCTGACGTTGGCTCAGATTGTAATGTGACCCCGATGACCGCTCAGACCATCCCCCCCCCACGCGACCGCAGCTCTAGCCGCTACCCAGATAGCTCGAGGAAGTCATTACCTACCTGCTGCCTCCGCGACCTCTCCCACCCTAGCTGGTGCTCCATGGCGGTTATCATTGCAACAGCTTGCCGTACACCTGCGCCGTACAATTGTAACCAGAACCCAGTAGTAAAAGTTGACGGATTTGCAGGGGGACCAAATCCAAATGCCTTGTGAGGTGGCGAGCGTTTCACCTTTCCCCAGCTAGTGACCGGCCAGCGGATGAGAGTTTTGCCGTAACGTCCAGGCTGTACGGAAGGCCAAGCCGTACAAAAGAAAAAAGTATACAATGGTATGACAGCTTCCAACGAGTTCAATCGATTACGAACCTTGTAAAACGGAAACATGCATCACTACGTGAGTGCCTAGCTCAACGAACTGGCAACATAATAATACGGGAGGACGACGATGTGCGGGGTGTGCACCAATCACTGGTTATTTACCACCCCCGGAAGTGCCTCAAGTGCTCAAGCACCAAAAAACTCCAACGCACAACAATCACATTCCAACACTTGAAAAACTCCGCAATCTTATCCTGGTGCGGCATTTCCTGAACAGGACCCCTCTTCAGCGCCCGGGGCCCCGTAGTGTCCTCTGTGTCCTCTGTGGCCATTGGGCTGTCCCGTTCCAGGTCCAGTGCGTTCAACGCATCACATACATCTTTTTCCATAGATGCACTCTGGCTCCCCCTAGCCCCGTCGCCAAGGTATACGTCCCAAACCGGTTTCCGCTTTTTTTTCACTTCCCTAAACCCTAAAATTCTAAAACCGTAAAACGCTGAAGCCCGCGGCCCTGGGCAGCACCTGTGGCACATTGATCGCGGAAGTCCTGCAACTCCACGGGCATATCTCTCATGTCCGGCAGTGCTGGGATCCGGATAGCATCGTACGGATTCTGGACGAGCCCCGGCCGCCAGCCCTCCGGTGGCGGCGCTCCCCCCGCCAGCCCGGGATGGCCTTGCAGCGGCGGACCGTAGGGATGCTGATGTGGCATGCTAACACCGTACGGGTTGTTCGCCATAATGGGTTGCATCTGGGCGATGAAGTTCAGGGCCAGGGGCTTGCCTTCCCTGGAGGCTGCATGTACGGCTTGACGGAGGAGAGATGCGCCCGTGATGCCGCCGTCGGCGGCGACTGCTGTGTTGCCCGTTGCAGTGGCGCCGCTAGCGGTGGCAGCAGCAGCAGCAGTAGGGAAGGAGTTGTCATGCTGGTGAGGCCCGTACGGCGGTTGTAAGGCTCCTACCAATGTGTTCGGCCCGACGCCGCCCGGGATACCTGGCTGCCACAATCCATGGGCCTGTTGCGGTTGCTGTAACATATTGTACGTTTGGTGAAAGAGTTTCTGTTGGAACTGTGGTGCGGAGGGATCGGGCTGCGGAGAGGCCTTTGACAGGCCGCTAGGAGGATGGATTGTTGACGGACGAGGTTGAGGCGTCGTTGGCACGGGCTCATATAAAGTAATGGGTGCAGGTGATGGACTTCTTCCACTCGGAGACTGCTGTTGTTGCTGCCTGTGAGGAATGATTACATCGTTGAAGGTTTTGCGCAGGTGCATGGTGATGCGCGCATGCTTACGAGCAAAGGTGCATAGTGCGGAGATAAGAGATGCCAGCAAATTCAGATAGATGATTTTATAATTGCCTAATGCAGCACTGTAGCCATTACCCTTTGTTCCTTGAAAATAGTCCCATTTCGCAAATCGGTTACGACTGCCAGAACTGCAACTTAGTAGATGGAATTATTGGGTTATGATAAATATGGTGTGTATTTATGGAACAAACATGATCAACCAATTAAGTCCGTAAGAGGGGTTTAACTGCCAGTTAAAGACGAAAGGAAGCGGAGTATGTCAATTAAGCGGCGATGCGCGATGATGAGCATGTAAATACAAAGTAATAACTTATGGAATTCTATGGACAATGTTCAAAACCGGGTAAGTAGGGAATTGCTCCGATGCCAGTTCGTTGTCAGCCGGTTAATCCTCCGTAATCGAAGAGCACCCAGCTGTGTGCAAAAGACTAACTCGAGCGCAGTTTAGATTAGCAATCACGTTCGGATTTGTTATCGAGTTTGATCTCCTCTAGCGCTACATAAGACAGGGGACTGTGACGGATTATCGGCATTCACAACCGGCTTCCGCACACTGATACAATATGAGGAGAGTGTCTGAGCGATGTATAGCGCAGGTATTCCAAAGTCAGGGATCGCTAGCGTCCTGCCTTGGCATTTTCTAACTATCACTTTAAATTACAGATCATTCGAGATGGAGCTCACTTACCATCTACATGCAGCACTAGTGGTCGTCAATCAACAGGTGCGCAGCAGCAGGATTATCCTCCACAATGTGTCGTGATTACTATCCCGCCGACAACTATTCTTTTTTGTTGCAGACAATTTCCAGCAACTTACAAGATGTTTTGCGAGCGGTAAGGGCTCCAGATCCAGGTCCATCCTCTACGACGCACGATGGGATGGTAAGCACGACTGGTCTTGCACCCTCTTCCACGTGCCTATGCCCTCGTTTTTCCACTCCGTGATGCCCCTAATTCTCCATCATCAGTCCTTCACAGCTAATCCGAAATCCCTAGCCCAGGCCTTACCCGTCCTATGGCCCCCTGCTCCTCACCCTCCCTGTACGCGGCCCTTCTCCTAGTAAGGTCCCCTCGGAACGGCACCCAATCGGTCCATCCACTGAACTCTTACCTCTCCGGCCAGTTGCACCTATTCACGCAAAAGACTGGACGCCGCCAGCAGCAGAGAAACTCAACGAAATGTTCCACACCTGCCATTCCCTCCCCGGCAGCCCTTCTGCACATCTCCCCGTTCAGCCCATTTCCAGATGGGGTGCTGCCCCCTCACCTGCCCTTGCCCATCTCTATCTCCGCGTCGACCTGCGTGAATACCATTCCCCGCCTTTCCAGGGCAGTCCCTGCCTTGCAGCAACCCGCTGTCCAGGGCCCCCTCCCCCCCTTTACGGTCGATTCCCCGCCTTCCCAACCAACCTCTGCTTTATCGCCTGGCTGCTTAATCATTGGGATATATTATTATCTTAATCAATGTGTTGTTTAAATTCCAATTTTGCACACATTTCTTCCCTCTTCGATCCCTCTGTTCCGGTTCCCTAGTGTACGGCGAGTTCCAGGCTAAATGGGACAAAGCCAACGCCGAAGCCGCCGCCCTGGCGGAGGAGCTGGCGGGGCCGCCGCCGAAGCCCCGTCGGGCCGGTTTCGGCCCCAAAGCCGACGCCGCCGTCAACGGTGGCGATGGCACCGCCGCGGCCAACCGGCCACGGCGCATCGCGCCGCCGGTGGTGCCGGCGGACGTGGACTGGCCGCCAGGGTACGGCGATCTGCTGCTGTCGTACTTGCAGACGGAGCTGCCGCTGGCCGCTGAGGAGGCGGCGCAGATGGTGGAAGCGGCGAGGCGGGGTCTGCTACCCGCGAGCCGAGAGCTCATTCGTACACGCTACATGCACCTCCGGGTGGGTCGCGACCCCTCGCATGCGCCGCCGACTGCGATTGGTGTGGTGTGGTGTGGTGTGGTGTGGTATGGTGTGTATGGTGTGGTGTGGTGTGGTGTGTCTAGAGGATCCCCTGGTGTGGTGTGGTATGGTATGGTGTGGTATGGTGTGGTATGGTGTGGTGTGGTGTGGTGTGGTGTTGCATCTATTTCGTGTAGGCTGTGAGGTATGTATGTCTGGTTGCAGTACGAGTGCGATGGGATTGGCAGAGGAGTCTGGGGGTTTGGCACTTTGGCTGTTGCTGTTTTGTATTTGGAGGGCAGTTGGTTTTTTCCACCTTTTTCCACCCTTCTCTGATGTGTCCCGATCCAACCTTCACGACCGCCCTTGCCCCCTTGTCCGATCTGAAGGATCTGCCAAAGGTTTCCACAATGCCGCAACCCCCTCCCACCGCCCCATTGGCCGTGATTGTGACCGTGTATGTTCCTGACAGGATTTGGAGCCCCGGTTTCCCGGCTTCATCGCACGTTCCGCAGTGCTCTCCGAGCCGCGTCTCTTGCGCCACTCCGCCGCCAAGCTCATGCGCGCCATGCTGGTGTTCCAAGATCTCTGGTCTGTGCGTCCCGTGGGGCCGCTCATGGCGCACATTGGCAAGTTCATCGTCGATGACCCAGTAGGTCTAGCACACCGGATCCACGCACTTACTCGTGCGTTGCGGTCGGAACTCGACGTAACGCTCGACCCGCGACGACTGACCCCTGGGTCGGTTTTCCTGTCCGCCGCGCCGTATGAACTCGACGCACGCGTCGCCGCCGTCGCCACGATTTTCGGACGCCAGGGAGGGCAAAGGCTGCTGGCAGCGGATTTAAACGTGCTGCGCTACGCGCTGCAGGAGTTAAATTCCGCCGTGTTGGCGTTACGTGCCGTGTTTGCAGCGCGTGGGTACGGCAAGCCGCGGACGCATCACGTTGGTACGGCAGCGGGTGCGGCGGAAGCCGCGGCTGATCGGGCATATGTTACGGAGCTTTCCTTGGCGTTTCCGGGGGTGTTGGCGTTACCGGGCCTGTACGGAGAGGAAGGGGTGGCGGCGCTGGTGGAGGGTTTGGCGACAGCGGGTGGCGAGCGGTACGGGGGGGATGCAGGCAGAGCGGCGTTGCTGGAGGACTTGGCGGCGCGGCCTGAGGTGTTGAGGACGGCGGCGGAGGCTGCGGCGGAGGTGTTGGCGGCGGCGGGAGGTCAGTCGTTGCAGATACGGGAGGCAGTACGGCGTTTGGCGGGGGAAATAGGGTGGGGAAAAACTGGGGACCCGGAGGTGGCGGCGGCACGGGGCTCTCTGGCTTGAGATGTCGGACGCAAGGAGGGGGGAGGGGCTGCAGCAGCAGGGCGGTGTTGATGGGGACGGCGGCGGCGAGTCATATGCAACAGGAGGTGATTGGTTGGGCGTTGTTTGCCTGTTGGGTTCTTAAAGGCATCAGAGGATGGGTAGCGTTGGGCCGTTACAATAGTACGACATCGTATGTTACACTGAGGAACGGCGAAGCACTGCACGATGAGAGCGGGACCCCTTCCGGGGCTGCTTCGGGGACCATGTGGGTGGGGCCCCTCTCGCCCTCAGGGGACATACAACACCCTTACACAAATTCACACATAAGAGATAGGCGACAGACAGACAGACGAGTGTGCCACGTTGCCACTTGCCACAAGGCGAGCGTGCAAGGTCTGTTATTACGTTTTATAACACACACTGTATTTTATAAGAATATATATAATTATTATGTATACTCTTTTGACGCGCCGGTTTGTTGATTTGGGACACCACCATCACCACCACCATCACCACCACCATCACCACCACGAACGACCCAAGGCCGGGGGGGAACCCCCAGCTCCAATTTTATGGGGAGGGTGAGAAGCTGCATCTCCTTTATCTGTATAATGTACGAAATCATGTTACAGCAGGTTCTAAAGGATCCTGGATGCGCTTAGTAGTGTTTTCAAGTCGGCTTGTTGGATGGACTTAACTATAAAACGTTTATACGAGCAGCAACATAAAGCAGATCTAGTTTATGCCGACCCAAGCTTAACTTCAGAGTCGACTACTTCCCGCCACCGGAACGCGCCTCACATCCCCCCCGTACGATACCGCCCCGAACCCCGCGGGCCCGGAGTGAAAGAGAAGGATGAGTCTGCACGGGAGCGGTGCCCTCAGGGCCTCATTCCTTTCCAAACGTGTCCTGAAATATGTTACACGGGGGCCCCAGTTTACGGTTGGCGTCCAAGTTCCCACTAGCGCTTCCACACCGTTGGGGTCAAAAGAGGGGACGCACACACACATACAGAGACACACAGATACTCACCGTCCAAATCATTCAAGACTCGTAGCAGTACTCAAAAAGCCAAAAAATCAGATAACACCTTCAACATTGCGGCCTTGACACCCTTATTGGAAGCGATGGCGAGGACGCAAAGCACGTCAGTATCTTTTCACCAGGGGTCGTTTACTTAGCTGTAGCTTCACCTACGCCAGCCAGCAGCCGGCAGCCAGCACCACCCCGTTCGCCCCGGAGGTACCCGGAAGGTCTCTTTGACAGCCTCAGTGTCAGCGGCCTGTGTGTGCTGGTGCACCTGTCTCCCTTTATTTCCCTGTCTCCCTTTTCCCCCCGGGCCCCCACGACTTAGGACGTCGTCAGTTCGTCTTTGGCTACCTGGCATATGATCAGTCCCCCTCTTGGTCAGTTCTACTCTTGGTACGCACTTGCCCTGGCAGCAGCTTCACTCGTTCGTGGTTCGTCTTTCCCCCCCACACACACCCCAAGCACACATTACAGGTGTTAAATGCTCTGAAGTTGATCTTCTTCAGGGTAGGCTCCTCGCCGTGAGCTCTCAATGACAGAGTTCCACCTTCCCCCCAATTCTCTCGCGCGATAAGTTGGGAGTTAGGTAGTTAAGTGGTATTGTTTATTGAGGAATTAACGGTGTTCAGGTAAAATAGTCAGCGACCCGATTGCGGCCACGTGTCATATACCAGCCACGGCCCCTCGCTCGGCCGCCCGCTGTCGCGCACAGTTATTTTACCGTTGCTGTTGCTGACGCTCTGCAGGCGGGTGAGCCTCTCCCGGGAGGATTATCCCGCACCTCACGGATCTCACGACTCCCACGAACATCTGGGTTTGGCTGCGGCTCAGGGCCTTTGTTAAAACCCGCGGTAGCGGCCCGGGCACTGCCGCCACCGCCTGTAGCAGTGACAGCGGCCGCTCCGGCTCCTTCGTTGCCCCTCATGCTCATCAGTGCTTGGTAGTACCCTTGGCACTGAGCCTCTAATGCAGCCATCTCGGCCGTGTAGCGCTCCACCACCTGCCGTAACTCGTCCTTTCGAGAGGACACGCCACGCATCCGGCCGCCGTATGGCACAGCACATGGCAGTAGCAGCGGCAGTAGCAGCAGCAGTAGCAGCAGCAGCGCCAATAGGAGCGGCAGTAGCAGCAGCGGCACCAATAGCAGCGGGGGAGTTGGGGTCGCCCATCGGGGTTACGATGCGGTCGCCGAGAGCGACAGGTTAAGAAAACCACGACAAGCAAACGGCGGGTATTCACTACATTGTATGTATAATGTACAATGTATGTATGATGTACAATGTATATAAAAAAATTCAGTAGATTATAATGTAAAATTACAGTACATTCATTACATATACGTGTATAATGAATTTACAGATACTATACTAATGTATATGTGAATGTACTGATACTATACATAATTATATGCATATACGACAAACTCCTAAGACCCCTAGCCTCTCCTCTCCCTTTGCACCTGCAGTGCATCTCGTTCCCCCAGCAGGTGCGAGATCATGGAGTCCTTCACCGCCAGCAGCTGCCTCAGCGCCCCGTGGGCCCCCGCCATGTCCCGGCACACAGCCGCCTCAGCGGGCAGGTCATCCGCCACCACATCCACCACCTCCTTGAAGGGCTTGGAGACCAGCCTGCGGTTCCGGGGGGGGGGTAGGTGTAGTGGCGGGGTGTTGGGGGGGGGAGGGGTAGATAGCCTAGGGCGACACCAGTGGGTAGTCGGCTGGCGGGGGGGCCTGTTTTGGCAACAACAGGTGCAGGGCCCTCGCGGGGCTCAGCCTCGTGGCACGGGGAGTTCAGGCGCGGGGTGAGCGGGATGCGGCGCAGTAGCGGTTGGTGGAAGGGTGATAGGGGCAGAATGTATACATAAGTGCATACAGGGGCAGGACAAATATACATTACATACATATCCATGTATACATATATATGGCCAGGGTAGCAAAATACACAAACACATACACACACGGTAATTGTCACATCCCCCCAAAGGATCCGCAACGCCCTCATTCCCCACCACCACCACCACATCCACAAGCCACCACCGCACCGGCCCC